TGTATCTTAAATACAGCTAATGTTTTCAGCATTTTAAAAGCATAATACAATATGTTGCAGATTAAAAGCTTTCTCTTTTTCTCCCTTCAAAACAAAAGAAACTGACGTTGCTGTTTAAAGGTTATATAACATTAACATTGTCAGGGTAGGAATTCTGTGTGAGAGTTTGTTATTGTTCCTTTAGAAGGCCATGGGAAAAGATCCAGATGTATGATTTTCTTACTTATCTGCAAATATTTTTCATATCTGTTACACTTTTAACAGTCAGTTTTTATTCTGCATTGAATGGACAAGCCCATTTAAAGGCTTCATTTTGTCGTAAATTGCAGGGTTGAATTCTTAACCAACAGGGCCACTTTGTTTTTTTCCTATCTATCACAGTACTCAGCAGCAACATACAAGAAGAGTGCAATACTAGCACCTTTCAAAATAGTATCAGTAATGGGAAGTTAAATGGTGGTGGCATTGTGAGAACAATACAGAAAAGGTTGTTTTTTCCGCTTTTTTTTTTTATAAAACGAGCGCATCACTTACAAGGGGGCAAAAAACTATTTGGCAGCCACCGACTTTCCAAGCTGTCCCACTTAAGAAGATGTGAGGTCTGTAATGTTCATCAGAGGTACACTTCAACTGTGAGAGACATTTGTAAAGAATTTATTTGTATAATGGTGCAGAGTAAGTATAGAGCACCTTGTTCTGACCCTTACAGACCTGTTACTTCTTCATTAAGAAGCTCTTCTATCCTCCACTTGTTACCTGTATTAATTGACCTGTTTGATCTCATTATTTGTATAAAGGACACCTGTCCACACCCTTAAACAGTCAGACTACAACCCTCACCATGGCCAAGACCAAAGAGCTGTCTAAGGACACCAGGGAAAGATTGTACACCTGCACAACACTGGGATGAGCCAATTTACAAGAGGCAAGCAGCTTGGTGAGAAGAGATCAACTTCTGGAGCAATTATTAGAAAATGAAACAAATACAAGATCACAGACAATCTCCCTCAACCTGGGGCTCCATACAAGATCTCATCTCATGAGGTACAATTGATCTTAAGAACGATGAGGAAACAGTCCAGAACTGCACAGGGGGAACTGGTCAATGACCTTAAGAGAACTGGGACCACAGTAACAAAGATTACTATTAGTAACACACTATGTCATCATGGATTAAAATCCTGCAGAGCTCGAAAGGCCCCCCTGCTTAAGCCAGCACATGTCCAGGCCTGTCTTAAGTTTGCCAGAGACCATCTGGAAGATCCAAAGGAGGATTGGGAGACAGTCACCAAAATGGAACTCTTTAGTACAAACGCCATTCGCCGTGTTTGGAGGGGGGAGGAATGCTGAGTTGCATCCCAAGAACACAATGCCCACTCTGAAGCATGGGGGTGGAATCATTATGCTTCGGGGCAGCTTTTCTGCTAAGGGGACAAGACAACCGATCCGTGTCAAGGAAAGTATGAATGGGGCCACCTACAGTGTGCGCAAACCTAGTGAAGACCTACAGGAAACGTTTGACCTTTGTCATTGCCAACCAGGTTTACATTACCAAGTAGTGTTGGGCGGTATGACGGTATATACCGTGTGACGGTATAAAAGTGTCTACCGGTAGAAATTTTGCTATACTGTTTATACCAGGGAGAGATTGCAGATATCAGCTGCAGCTCTCTGAGTCAGTGAGTAGTTGTCTGCGCTCACTAACAGGAAAGCCGGAGCGTATCTGTTCGGGTGCGCTTCCATATATTCACCAGCATATCGTGCAGAGTTTGTTTGCTCCGTTTGATTCGTCAGGTCTGGGTACGCTCCCTTTAATCACGATGTGCCAGTAGACTGCTTGGCATAGTTTTGGCAAAGAAGAAACAGCTTCACTGGTGGTGCTCATCGGTGCTCATGAGTGGCAGTACCGAGCAAACGGAGGCAGACCGATCCAACCAACACAAGGAAGAGGAGAAGGAACTCATTCCAGAAAAAGGGCGCGAGTCACGACACTGGTTGTTTGGAGATTCTTTTGTGTCTGCCAAACACTTTTTTGCCCAACTGTATCATTTTTGTTGATTTCATCATTAGCTAAAAATTCATCACAATACATTTAAGTTATGTCCTCTCCTTTAATTCCAGTCAACATAAGGCCAAACAGACTTAGATACCATTCCAGCTAATATATCATCCTGCATGTAAAACAGCAACATTTGGGCCACACATAAACCTCTTTCTACCTCCCTCTCATTCTCTAATGCTCTTATCACACAAAAGTATCCTCAATTAAGCATATTCAGTAATTACTACCTTTTTGGTCTTTGATGAAAAAAAATGAGTATTAATTGATTATCTTTTTACAAAGTGCTCTGGAACTTTGTAGAGTATCTCATGTAAACAGTATTAAAAACATGGATATTTATTAGCTTTATCTTTAATAAACATTAATTAAAAATTTAATAATACACTTTCCATGTGGTCTTTTTAATGCAGACAGAGAGGCAAATATTCTAAGAAAACATAAACCTTTGTATGAAACAAAACAGTCCAGGTGAATCCTTCAGAGAATAAAAAAAAAATCCTCCTTTTTCAGCATGGCTCCTATCATGTCAAGGGGGAAGGATTTCTTTTTATGGTTTAATTCAACAATAGCATTTGCGATTGGGGTTTTGGGCATCTCAAGGGCATTCCTGGTGAAATTACTGAGACTCTGCACCATTTATCACAGCCTGACATGTGTCATGTTCCAGATTCTGGTGCAGAAAGGTTACAGCTGAAGACAGCTCTCTCTTTGTTGAGCAGCCATCAAAGACAACATCTCATATGTATAAAAAAAGAAACCTGACAAAGGGACAGGAGCGACCAAAGTGCTGTCCTGTGATCTCTAATATCTTCATATTAGGACGTATTAATCTGATACTGTATATAAAATAATCAGATGGTTATCACAATAAGATTTTATTAATATGTGTATAGCCTTGTAAGTGATTATCCATGTTCTTTACTGTTAAGGCAAAATATGATAGGAAATAGAGCAAAAAATGGTGGAGATTGAAGATTGTAGACATATGTGCAAACATTAGTCAATGTTTTTTTTCTCTGTTTATGCAGCATCATTAATTTTCTCATTGCCACTGTTGTCCCAACGCATAAAATATGACTAATTTTACAGCCTCAGTATCCTGTAGTGGTGTTATACTTCACTCATCTACTCCTTTCTCTTCTGCCGCTTTTACCCAATAAAGTACTGTCAAACACCTTTCCCGTCTTCTCTTTACCTGGACATTGTTTAGGATATCAAATGAACACTAAGAGCGCTGTTGTATATACCCTGAGCATTAAAATATACATTTTAGCTTATTTAAAATGCTGCGGTGTTAGTTTATTTGTTCGCTTCTAAACATGTTGCTAATATAAATAGCTACTAAACTGCCTTTCATTCTTTGACAATGACATTAATAAACATTTATTCTATTCTGCATTCTACTCTCTACATGCTACTCTCCTGCTCTTGGTTTGCAGGTTAGTCTAGGGATGCCAGAAGGAAAGAAGACAAGGACACCACCACTGCCCAGAAACTAAAGCCTGAAACATCACCAAGGGTCATCATGCCTGCACTCTCAAATACATGCAGGAACAGACACACACTTATGCATACACTCATAAAACTGTAGGTGTCACTTGTTCTTCTACGTAATGATAAAGACTGAGCAGTACTGGTTAAACACCCAGTACAAAATACATACTCTGAAAACACCTTTGAATTATCAGAGAGCTAGTTCAACCTCTGTGCGACAGGCACCTTCGCTCAGATATGCTATAATTGCCTCAGAAAACGTAAATAGGGCTCTGAGAATTGAGAGTAAAAGGGTAATACTGAAAGAAAAATCAACACAGTTCAGCCCTACTCGACATAACAAAGAGTATTTTCTCGTGATAACAACTTACTAATGTGTCCGCCATTGTTACGGCTGTTGTCAAATTCGCACATGGCAGTTAAATGTTCCCTCTTAAAGTGTAATGCGCGTGCACAAAGTGGAGCAAGACGTCAGTGTTTTCATTGAAAAGCTTGGCTTGCTGTTGACAGCGTTTCAGAAGTATCCCAATATGGAGGGCGTTTTTAAAAGTCACTGTTTTAGGTTGGCTAAAACACCATTCCCTTTATCACGAGAAAACGATCTTTGTTATGTAGAAATAACAAGATAATAAGTTGTTATCATGTGATAACGGTGCATTGAAAAAAAAGAAAAATTCATGGCCGTTCTCATCTTCCGTAGTATTAAACTATATGTCCTCTGCAATTATTTTTACGTGCCTGCGCTGCGTATTGATATTTAGCATTTTGAACAGCTTGTAAAACTATAAATTATTTAGCTCTGCAATACCATCTGTAATATTTATTATGTTGATGTAAAAATATAAGATGATATATGATTTTTTTTTTTTTAAATAAGAAATCTGAGTACCTTTTTACAAGTAGTCAAGAATTGCTATTACTTCTGAGGATTAATCACAAAGAAAATACCTTTGCACCCATTTGCTTGTTAAACTCTCCAGTTATCTATGGATGGCTGTTATTTTTTATTTTTACCAACATCATCAGCGCCTCACAAAATAGCTCCATTTTAAAGGCATGTAAAATGTCATTGTTTAAAGAGTGCATCAATAACTGCTGACATAGTTAAATGCAAAGTACCACACAAGGGGGGAGGGTTGTGTATGAAATTAATTAATTCTACAAGCACATTATTTATGACTTAATATGATATACTGGTGTGCTTTATAATAACACTGAATGTGCATATTTCTGGAGGAGACAGTGGAGTAATTATGCAGAATGCCTTTTACCATGAGCGTACAATATTAATTACAAGCAGGGTTGTTTATCAATCGTGAAACACTGTTTAAAAGCTGTTTGGAAGATTGCCATGATGACCCAGGCTTGTCTCCTATCTTTTACTTTCAACTGCTTATAATGTGACACGAGGAGTTCCTTTCTAGAGCACTGATGGCCGGGATAACAGAGGAGGAAGTGATGGAGGAGATCCCATTGTGTGTGAAGTGAATCCATTTCAATCAGTGATTTAAGAATAAGATAAATCTGACAATTTAGGATGAATAAATGATGAGCAAACTAGATGACTACAGTAGAGAAGAAAATCTCAAAGTAAATACAGAACAGTTCAAGGGCATGTGATGCAACTTGCCTGTTTGTGGGTAATCAAATAATGTGACTGTACTGTCTGCAAAGTGTGCAACTTCTATACTTCTTCAAAATAAAAAAGGTCAGGTCAGAAGTAATTTCGACCATTTGACACTAATGTGCTACTGCAGGTATAACTACACTACACTGGATGAAATCTGCACTCAGACAGCCAAAAGCATCAAGGAGGATTTGATCCTGGGGCCTTCTGTCTCTGAGTGGCATGTAATAATCATTGTGCATAAGTGTTCAAGCTCTGTACCTTTAACAGCTCACAGATTTGTTTGTCTTCATATATGCAGTGCCCACTGAGGCCTGGTATTTTTACAGCGGATATAAGTATGAGAACTGGGGAGTTTGGAGCGAGTGGGCTGTAATTTGAAAAGAGAGAGGAGAGAAGTTGTTGACAGACAATATTAATGGACTGAAGTTCAGGTGAAGTACTGCTCAGAAAAATACACTTTATTCACTGATGGCTCATTATTGTCTCAAACTTATTTATTGAGATTCAGATAATTAAAAATAGTAATATAAAAATAATAATAACAATAATAATAATAATAATAATAATAATAATAAATCAGATGTCACACTATCAGGATCATATAGTTAGGAAAAATAAACTGGTTGAATAGTAATAATAAAAAAAAGTCATTTATGGGGATACACATTTTAATTTGTCCATATCCAATATTTTTACACTAATTTTGGACAATATTGATATCAGCTCTGATACATACACCTATTTCTTTAATTGGGAAAAACACCTAGTCTCTTATGTACTAGAATTGACCCGTTACCTTTATCATGGCTGTGTATTTTCTTAGAAATAGACTTAAAACAAGAGAAACATTTGCTTCTACCCAAAACAATGAAATATAGTCAGTACTGTCTACTGTCTGTCTCAAACACTTCAAAGTAACATTAAGGTTAAGGTTAACAGAGATGTACCTGCTGGCAAGAAAAAAATCTTTTTGAATATGCCAATAGTAAAAATTAACTTCTCAGTCTATCATCTGCTGGTACTAATACTACCCTGGTAATATTCTGCACCCCTGCACATTTGTCCAGGCATCTTGGTTGAGCACATGCAGTGTGACTCATGATTGGTCTATGATTCAAGCTCTGCACAGCTCAGAATGCGTGCAAGCTTCAGATTGATCATCAACTTGTGCAACAACAGGTCTCAACTGTTTGTAAAGGACTCGCCTCTGCTTTAAAGAAATACAAGCATGAGAAAAATGGACATCTGTGCGTGCAGCCTCATGGATACTCTGAGTGTGCGAGGCAGGGGCACCTTCAAAGTTTGATTAGCAAAGCCATAAAAAGAAGATGAATAACTGCATTTTGCTGCACTAAGAGGGTGGTCATCATTAGTAGCTCTTTCAAAAACAACCAGGAAACTCTGTTAGCTGCCAGCACGAACTGAGACTGCATGAAGTAGTTTTCCCAGTACACCATGTAGATTTTCTGGATGAAGAGGTGAAACACACAGCTTTGCTATTTCCTGATGTAAACATGGTTGGTCAGCCGCGGGTCAGGGACATAGTATCACTCTACTCACTGAAACACTGCAGCAAGAGCAGCAACAATAATTACACATGGTAAAAGTCAGACAACAGGAGCAGAGTAGGAGTATGAGGGTTAACACGCACACAGAAGATGACTAAAAGTTCAGTTGATCCTGGATTTGGGGTATTTACTATAAGTTCTGTAATATTTGTAATGTAAAAGTCAAATTGAAGTGGTGCTTATGAAATTCTTACTCTGTGTCATGTCTCAGCAAAAAGTAGAAAAGCAGTGTTTTCCCTATAGTGTATTTGGCAGGATGAAGCGCCCTGCCGATGGATGCCTGCCCTGCCAACAACATCCTAACCGAAATACAAGTCGTAGGTTAATATCAGTGTTGTGCTAGTTACTGAAAAACAGTAACTTGTTACAGTTACTTGTTACTTTATAGAAAAAGAAACTCAGTTAGTAACTCGGTTACTGAAACCTAAAAGTAATGCGTTACTGAGAAAGTAACTATTTAGTTACTGTAAAACGTTCTTCCAATGCTTCCAATACATAAAGATGTATTGACTGAGTTCCCCTCTAGCCGCCATTTTAGTTCAGAACTGATGTTGAATAAAACAAACTGTTGATTAAAACAATCGTTTCAATTCATTTGCACCTACATCGCTGAATCTAATCTGAATATGATCCGTTGTGCACCAACACAAAGCTTGACACTAACACCAAAATTTTACCATTGGACTCTGGAACATTGGCCTGATATCGCTAAAAAAAATCTACATAGGCAATTAAACAGACCCTGCTATTGTTTTATCAACTTGTGCCAGGCTATGGGTCCTCTTACGAACTCTAACCCTTGCTGCTTGCATAGAGTGGGTGTGTGCTCGCTGATGTGACTCTCGGTTGCGGATGCTGTGCTACCTTAGCTGCTAACTTTGTCGAAGCACGCCGCTTCTCTAGGTGCTTAAGTAGATTGCTGTTGCTTGCTGCATTTTTGGCCCGGGACACAGTTTACATGTTACCGAAATATTTTTTTCTTTTGCTCTCGAGTTGAAAATAATCTGAGTATGTCCATGAGGAGAAAATTATCTTCCCCTTCTCACTGGCCATTACGCCGTTCCCTGACCTGTCCACTCCTCTTCATGGCGCATGTTTGATCACGTGACGCCAGAGGGTAACAAGAGCTTTGTTTTTCCAATTCAATTAAACTTTATTGATCGCTAAAATGTTATGGGAACTGTGTGCCGTTGTAAAACCTCACCAAAAGCAACAGAGTAACACAGTGTTTGGTAACGGAAACGGAGTTACTGAATTAAAAAAAAACAAACATTATTGCGTTAACCGGGGTTCTGGCTCCTTTCCATCGTGTTTGCCGTCCACAAAACAATTTTTTAAAAACAATTTTTTTCATTGGGCACCGAACTGTCCCTGAACATTCAGCACCCCAATTGAAATATTTGCATTCTTCAAAAAGGTGGTACGTAGCATTGCGGACACCGCAAATTCTCTTGTGGATGCAAGCTTAAGCATCTCTCCCAGCCCCAAAAACAGCACTGGCTCATCTCCCGCCACGTCGTATGACGCAATACGGGGGATGACATGTCTACAACATACGATGCCCCCCTCATCCCCACCCACCTTTCATAGCGAAAAAGCTGCGGGAAACACTGGAAAAGTTACAACAAACCAAATCAAACCATGTAGTTGGTGATCAGTGACACCTCTACGGCTTATTAGCTACAAAATAGTCCTGAACATTTCATTTCAAACAGTTTCGGACTTTAAAAACTCCAGTGTTTCAGCACATTTGAAATGCTGCACTTTTTGAAAAGTCACATAAATCCACTTGACTGCTTCACTATGAATCATGAGAAAGAAAGAAAAACTCGATAATGCCAACTGGAGTGGAAGAAGACACCACATGAGTGATTGCATCATGCAGTATAGTGATGCATAGATATAAAATACTTTGTACTTCAAAAAGCCAGATGCCAATGTAACAAATATTCTCTTTAAAGGCACTGGTACAAACTAAACCTTCTGTGAGGAGGAAAACAAACTCACTTTAATTCATGACAGTAGAAGCTCACGTGTGTCGTAAAAAACGTGGCTGCAACAAGAGGCATGGTCACTTGTCACTTTGTGAAATCCAATCATCTAAAATATCATCTGCAACTTTACTAATTGACTGTATATATTCAAAGGAATCGAGCAGTTATTATAAGGATCCAAATTTTATTTTGGTAAAGCACTTGTGTTGTAAAATGTTCCTGGTGCCTCTGAAACCTCTGAGAATTAACAGGTTGTTTGCAGCTTTACTGAGATTTAAACCACTAACTGACTGTTTATTCTCACAACTGTCTGTGTAAAACACATTTCCCTCAGTTACCTGTACTCTACAAGATGATTGGAGACTTAACAACATTTATTGTTAATTGTGACAGGTAATTTAAAAAGAGAGAGTTTTGTCGAGGATGCTGTTATTAAACTGAGTTGCTCTGGAGAATCTGTAGGATACGCTGACATGACAGGAACCATAACAGGAATAAAGTCAGGATACTTCTTCTGCTTGATGACTTAGTTTATTTACGGTTAACTCTAACTAGTCCCTGAACTTTACAGAAGTTAAATAGCCAATTACTAAAGGAGACTTTTGGTGCATTTACCTACGAGTGAGGTCTCAAATAATTCAATATAAAAACTTGCTGGAGTTTGCACTCATCTGCAGGCCCCTAAAGAAAAAAATATTAAACTTTTTGTATAACCTACAAAAATATTAATTTACATTACCAGGTTATACACTCACATCTTCACCTGTTTTAAAAACACTCACAAATAACTCTTGTTTTGAGGTCTTTTATCGATCAAGTGGCCTGACGATTCCTGCCAGTATCATGCTGCAAGTTACTGGCTGTTTTATTTCATGTCATTACTGCATGTAAGTGTTGTGTTGATGTAGGAGATGGCATGCTTGGAAATATTAAATGTACTCTGTGATCTGAGAGGACAGGACAGAACTCAGGCTCACGCCGTGCCATGTGTCTTCACTGCCCTCTACAGGATGAAGAGCACCTTATGATCTATGGTATGGCTTTGCCCCCCACACACACACCCCAACAACATCACCCCTTGAAGCACTCCAGGTTCTTTTGTTTCTGCTGAGCATTCCTCTACAAAGACCAAGTCAAAGTAATGTAATCTGTATACTAATGAAAGAGCAGAAAATACCGTTCTTTTTTTAACTTTATTAATCAGTGTATGATTGTTAAAAGTAGCTTCATAGGTGTGTTTTTTCTTCCACCCCTTTTGAAAGCGATGATTTTCCTTCTGTTGTAGTTAACCAAGTTAGTTTTGGGGTACTAGCTACTGTTTGTCACCTGCTGCGCCTCTCACAGTGTGGCAAATAAGATAATTTACAGCCGAGTTCACTGACCCTAGTTGCAGTGAGCTAAACTACCGAAGCAAATAACTCATAAATAAATCTGTAAAAGCAATCATCTGGGTCAATCTTTACAAACTCTACTTATCCTAAGGGCCAAGTGTATGCTCATATTTCTTACAATCATAACTGTGTTATCCTAAAACTTTACAATTAGGGGTGGAAAAGAGGGACCAATCCAAGAGCTGAATGACGAATCATTTTAACATAACTGAGATGTGCATTGCACTTCAGTCATATTACAGAACATGCACTGTCAGTCATATGACCTGCAACACAACATGCTGTCACCACTTCCTTGCTGTCTAGAATTAACGTACAATTAAAAAATATCTAAAATGACTTTAATGCAGTTTCTCACTTAAACTCATGGATAAAATGACAGCTGTGAGTGCAAAGCCGCAGCCATCATAATATACTTCTGTTAAAATTTAAATGTTTCTATTAAAATACACTGCATTTATCTGGTTTAAATTTTTGTTTTATCATATCACAATATGTTTAGCAGAAAGATTATGATCCCAGCATGAGTTTTATTTTTTCTATATTGTGCAGCCCCAGATAAATCTTTATACATTGATACATCATAAGTTTATGTCAAATCAAATTATTCAAATGACCAAGGAAGTAAGTCAGCAACAGACTTCTCAATACCTTCTACAATTTGGAATATAAAAAAATTCTCTTATTTTAAGAAAGTTACTTGCAACTAATTCTTCAATGCTCACATTTAAAATGGTAAGATATATAAAATAAAAACTGCAGAAAAATATTAGATTATGTTCAAAACAGGATATAAACAAATGCCAAGTCACCAAAGTCATAGACGCCAAAAGTAAAATTTACTTTAAGGTTATAACAGTTTTGAAATTTTTTTATTTTTTATTTTAATATTTCTTTAACTTTTTGTCTCCGGTTTCAGCTGTTTTCTCTTTTTTTTCTATTCGTTTTCGTTAAATTTTTATGAGTTTTACTGAGAAATTTTGTTTTATGTCATATGATACTTGTCACATGTGAATCCAAAATAGGTATAGGGATGTAAAAAGTCAAAACATCATACTGTTCAGTATTTCAGTACAAAAGACGAACAACCACAACTATTCACCAAACATGAGTCACAGGGTTGAGAGAAAAGCTTCCCCACTCTTCAGGGACTACAGAGAAAGACATGGACTGAACTTTTACCTTGATGGCAGTCCACTGCCTCCTCGTGGATGTGTGTCACTGTAGTGTGCTTCTCTCTCTTCAATTAACACGAAAAGTTAAAGTAAAAGTTAACCTGGACCTCTCCCTCACCCTCATCAGTAAAACTAAACAAAAGTACACCCTGATCTTCACAACAAGGCAATGTTCCTCAGCACTTATAACAGTGCTCTGAAAAAAAAAAAAAGATGTGTATATGACTTTTACAAATATAGCAAAGAAAGAGAAAAAACAGGATTTTTTTACTTGCCTGCGTCCATCAGAATTATGACAGTCAGAGGGAAAACAAAAAGCTATCTTGGTATCGTAATTGTTTCAGAGAAATATCTCTAACAAGCTTTTCAAAAGTCCTCAACAATAGAATATTGAGTGATAGAGGGGAAAAGTTTGAACTTCTGCTGTTAAAGGTCTAGCCAAGCTAAATTCCCATCCTAGTGCTGCTTCTGAGAAAGACCAACAGGAGAGGATGTGTGTCAGTGAGGGTACTTGTGCCAAACAGAAGAACAAAGGGCATTTTCTCTGTGATATTTGGTTTTATTAAGTTACAGTTCGTCAGTAAGGTCTCATTTAATTTCAGTTCCTCAGTTTCCTCTTCATGATAACCTTGTTGATGATAAAGTTTATATTTGTGTATTTTAAAGTAAGACAAGGTAAAAGCATTTATATAAAGTGCTTACGGTATGCAAATGCACGTGACAGCTTAAAGTTTTTAGAGAAACTTTTCAATATAGGTACATTTGTAAAAATATGCAGCAACATTAGCACATGTTCTAACTTTGCCTAATGTATATTGAGTTTTTTTTTTTTTACCAAGGTTTTCAGCCTTTCCTTTCACCTGTCCTTCAAATTATTTCTCTTGAATCAAAGCCCATTTGAGTGTTAGAAGAGAAATGACTTAAAGCTATAATCACTGGCAGTATGTTGAGTAACATGTCCATCAGTATCCAGTTACTGTAACTCTACTGCTATTTGTGGTAACTTGTACTAAATCTAGTTTTGTTTCTAATTCAGTATCGCTGTGATGATTACAGAAATGTAGCTGGACTTGTTCCTTATAACTTGATGTCAAATAACTAAGTGATGCATAATATCAACCATCTGACTCAAACTAAATCATAGCCGAGATTAAACATCCATCATACTCCAGTGTTTTAATAGGCTTGTTATGTGATTTCATATGCAGGATGGGTCTGATCTTGACACGGTTTTGATCAGCCAACACTTACAATACAATACTAATAATTCAAAAGCTCATCAGAATCCTACAAGTTTGCTAGCCTTCTAGCTTATGTATGCTGCCTTCATGAGTTTTCTGCTCTTAAGAGGGGTCTGGTTTTCTGTGACTGAGGCGCTTGATGAGGTTCAAAGTTTCCTCCCTCACTCACATGATGCTGTCGTGTAGCATCTTTTGCACACAGGTTTTTAGTCAGTGGGTTTACTATTCAGATCAGCTTTGAAGGCAAAGGCAGGAGACTATTGCTGCAGGTTGTAAATATATTCCTTCAGAAGATTAGCCGTAGTTGTTCTCAGTAGTAGACATGTTCAGGTGGAGGCACTGTTTTTCTCCCCCTTAGTGTAAGCCGAAGCCCCCACTGTACAAACACCAAAGACTGAGACAAATGGCCCCACACGCCCCCACCCCAAATATGCAGTCATGCTGCCACTTACGCCTGGTAGAGAGGCAGGTAACAAGACTGTCACTTCTTAGGTGAACGTCTTCATTTGGAGAAATATCATATTCAAACTGTAATGAGCCATTGAATTCAAAGTATACAACATATCAGTGCATGAGGCAATCGTACTGTAGTTTGTCCTCTGATCCAGTAGAGGGCACTCTTATTGTAACCTGACCATTGCATGTGCTCTTAACCTAAATTAATTAATACAGAGCCCTGTTTTTCTACAAAAATGAGTGTGATCAGAGCTACCCTGAGCAATGAGAAAACATCTCAAAAACAGAAGTGCCTTTTGGGAGTATTTAAATAAAAGCCACCAAATAGATGTCATCTTTGACAATTAATTAATTAAGCAGCACAACGTCGAGTGGTTATGTTGTGAATAAAGATAGAGCTGCGTTCAATCCAAGTCAACAAAATAGATTATGTTGCTAGCAAAAAATATCAAAGATCATTGATCAGACCACTTGTGTTGCCAACAAACGGCTGCTTTAATGTTACTTTACTGTTCCAGTTTATGGAATTCACTCCCATAGTATGTTTATCGATGTTTTCTGTACGAGTGCGAATTTTTCTTTCAAGTCTTACTGGGCTGCTGTTTTTGTTATGCTGTGTCAAGTTTGTTAAAACTGTTAAATGAAGCACGGAAATGTTTAATATATTTGAACATCAGCTTGTTGCTCTCTGTACTCATTTGAAATGTTTTTCAAGTGACAAGTGAAGCAAGTAATATTTAATCCCAGCATTTCAGTGATATTCTGACTTTATCAGGACCACATCGAACCAATACTGAACTTAGTATATTTCTTAAGCTGCACAACATTTTGGTCCCAAGGTCTGTTAGGCCTGAACCAATGTGATCAAAGATAGAAGAGAAACTATTCACTGTAGGAATTAGTCATTGTCAGTAATATGTCCAACACTGATTCGACCCATTGCTGCAGGTCTTCTCCCACTCTGCTTTTCACATTTTCATTCTCCTTTCAGCTGACCCATCAACAAAGGCAAAAATGTCCCAAAAATAACTAAGACTGAAAAAAGAACGCAAAGCATGATATTTCTACTGATCTATACCTGTTCAAATAATGAGTCACCAGTTACCAATGAATCCTGTGTGGAGCATGTAGAAGTACTAATAACACAAACTCATTTATGTCCAGTTATAGATCTGATTTGTTCAGCCAGGTTATTGATCTATACTTTGTGATTACACAGTGATGCTGAGTGTATCTGGTGAATTATAATCAGACCTTTAACAACAGAGCAGACCCCTCTTCTTCACACTTACAATATTCTGAGCAGAAATATCTTCCATATTGAGTAACTGCTGCTTTTTTTATTTTTTGACGTTTTTTTGACATAGTTAAAATTATCCTTGTACTACCCCTCCCCCTCAGTATTTCTCTTACAGTATGCAGGCATGCTCTAACACTTTGTTAAGCCCTCCCTCTCTCCCTCTCTCTCTCTGTGTGCTGCTCCTCCTGTCTCAACCTCATCTCCTCTGCACTCTCTTCCCTTCTTCTGTCTGTGTGGGCCAACTGAGGTAAATGTGCCAAACTGCCCTATTTAGGTCACACCAACAACAGCAGTTCACTTGGGATTCAACCCGGCAAACTTTGCCTGCATCACGACCATAGGTTGATTCAGGTCGAGGCATCCGCTGTGTGGATTCATCACTAGAAGTAACACGCTAACTGCACATGAATTCGCAAACTGCAAAGCAGAAGAGTGGAGGATTTACTATTTTTGTTATCCGATTTCACTGCTTTACGTCACCTTTCATGAATTATAAAAAAAGGAACAGGTGATCATGGCGCCTCTTAGCACCCGTACAAAGGTTGAGCATAAGGGCACCTGGCTCTTTAAGGAGTGGCAGAGGGAATTACTGATACCGTGCACAAGGACAGACAGAGCAGCTGCTGTCACTTTTAATAGCGTCATAGATTGCTTTAGAGGCACCACTGCTGGCTTTTGGTTCATCTGTGATTGTGCGGGCTGGACACTGTAGCCGAAGATTCTCTGCTTTGTTGCATTTTCACCCCAGATAGGTGTCATATATGGTCAAGGATAAGACAAAAAATACACCCCAAATACTATTTCAAAATATTTTATCTGAATATCATTTAAACACATATTAAATTTTGTGGAAACTTCCATGCAAGTCCCGTCAAATGTGTCACGTAGAGTATATATTTTCAGCATGGGTAAACACAGTCACAGCTTAGCACTGAGCTGCACTACACCAGCAAATGTGACCCTGAAGCCTTTGAATGTCTTAATTCTTTCTTGACTGGGTTATTTGCACCTTTCATAAAAAAGATGGCTGCCTAAAATTATCTCTGTTTTCCTGTTGTCACTTTTCATACTCATCATGTCACTGCAGTTTATAACCGGAGCTACGCTCGGTCCTTCTGCCATTCATTCTCTATCTGTCAAAATAAACTTGCTTCCACATTAAGAGGGCAGCAGTGACAAGCAGTGTGTGTGTGTGTAGAGTGGGGGCTTCAACCGCCGCAGCAAAACAAGCTGCACTAATCTGGCATGATCTGTGACTCCCCCCTCATCAGCTCATTGGGTGTGAGGTCTTGGGTGTGGTTATTAAGGACACTGATCTTAAACGTGCCTTCTGCTTTCTCACTGATAATTACTCACTGGGCAGCTGCGGACGGGATCACTGAGCTGTTTGACGCTCCTTCAAGTGATGCAAGATTTAAATAATGCATGCACAAATCTTGCTGCGTGCACACGATTCATCTGTGCAGAGGTTTCAGCCACTAAAACTTCTATTTCTTATTTGTTAAATTCAGTATGTAGCAGATTTTCACATGCAAATTTATATCTCGGCCCTCTTTGCCTGCGGAGGTTTACTGATTAGACTCGATGCATGCTGAGGCCTGATGTCTAAATAGCAAAAATATGAACTTTTTCCAGGAAAAAAGAGGAAAAGAAAAATATATTTTGAGTATTTTATCAGCCAAACAGAGCATGTAGTTTCACATCAGACAAAAATTCTGTGTAGGTTGAGTGTAGAGCTAAATCTAAAGCGAGGAAGGGTCACAGTGTGAGGAGAGTACACTAACAGGGTCTGAAGTCCACGCTGGAGGGAAACAGACTCAGTTTTCCAAGATCCTGGAATAAGCAGGAGCTGGGTGTCAAGACCCGTTAGAGGTGAGGAGGTGCCCTCCACAGTTTACACCCATGTCCAGGGGTGCCTGAAGTCCTACCCCCAACCTACCCTTCCCAAAACCTTTGCCCTATCCAGTTTAGCTGTCTCTGGGGTTAATTCCATGCCCTGGAGCTGAAACAACAGGATCACAGCCACAGCACTAATACTCAATAGACACTGACCTACTTTGTTGGATTATACAGGGAAAAAAACTGATCCTCTGCCCTAATGCCAGCAATGAAAACGATCTAATGGTTCTAACTGCTCTGTTAAATCTGAAAGCATGCTCATGTTATTAATTTCTCATTATGGGAGTGCAGTTCTGCTGATGGGATTAAATGCCCTGCTCTGGCTCCCTTTCATTTGGTGACCTCCCTACTGAAAAACAAAGGCTAAAAACCATCTGGCTGGACGCTCCCTCGTGTGGCTTGTTTATTTGTTTGTTTGTGTTTTGTATGTGTGTGCGAGAGGCAGTAGGTTAGTCATCTGCGCTCGACTTCACAACACTGAATTTGAGCCAGAAGAGGGGCTGAAATTTTTTTAGATCACTTCCCTGAAATCAAACAAGTGCGACTGCGTGAGAAACCTCAAGGCTCTGTGTCTTTACAACAATCCTGCAAATGAGGGAATTCATCTTTCTTAATCAGGCAACCAGAGGAAAACATGATCAGAACACATTACTTTGTCTGCGGCTTGTATAAATGGCTTTACAAGTTGTTTCTTTCTGTGCAAATTAATGCTCAAATGGACGGAGAGTGCCCTTGGCTGGTTGTACATCCAATTTCAACAATCAAAATCTATTTTTCTGGTCCATTACATCACCACCAGGGGGCACTTGTTTCCTCAAGCATGCAGTGTTGTGTTTGACAAATTGCCATGGAGGTAACACATGTACGCAGCAAGGGAATTAGGGAAAAGGACAGGGTAAGCAACCAGCTTCCCACCCACCCACACACACACCCACCTCTGATTTTCTTTGAGTGTAATCTGCTATATGATGACAGCCAGCAGCTGCAGAGGAGGAGATGCTTCAAAAATATTAGCTCTGCTCTGACTCAGTCATAAGGAGCTGCTGGTCAGGTACAAAGAAGAGGGTAAGTTGAAGATACTATTAAATATTTCTACATTCATAAAGGCTGAGTTGTTTTTTGTTTGTTTTGTTTTTGTCCTGTCATGTGTATTTTCATTATATCTTTGTTTATTTGTTGTTCTACTTGAATAAAATGGAAAAATTTAATTAAAAAAAATGAATCACAAAAAAAAGGCTTAGTTGATCAAGCTCAAAATTGATTTAATTCACATGCATATTGTGCACAAAAATACAATAAAATATAAATATTATCTTTAAAAAAAGATCACTCATCCATAGCTTTGTAAAAAAATGACAGTTTTTATATTATGCCAAAGCCTAAATTAGTGTGTTAATTCAAGGTGACAAAAAAAAATCCCAAATGTAAGACTGTAACATATACTTCGACAACACTGTATCCAGTCAAATTAGACTACTTTGAAATCATCAATAATCATATGCAAAGGAGATGTAGTTTTTGCATCTCCGCTCATCTATCACAGCAAATTTGGATTTGAAAGGTGAGAATTCATTGGGCTGAATCAGCACAAAGTACGTCCAAACCTGAGGCTCTCAGTGTCCGTAATAACACAAACATGACACGTAATACATCAAATCACCCTTTACTAGTTGGGCAGATAAAACAAGATAAAAATATGGAGGCTGTCAACAGATCAGAGAAGGTATCTGCATAATGCTGTGCTACCTTGAGCTGTATCTACAAAGCTGTGTGTTATGTTTTCAGGTTGTTTTAAAAGCAGGATTTTTAACTGCTCTAAAAATGTTGTGTAGATGAACACTGCTGTTGTATTATACATCTAAAATCGTACATTTCTGTCATTAATTCCTGTTTTCTCTTCCGAGCCTTGAGAAACAAATTAGTCATTTTAGTTGTTACGATCTCTAAATATGACATTTTTAAAAGGCACAGCTTTAACAATTATATTTAAAGCTTGTACCTTTGAGTTCAAAGAGTAAACCCTGGGGGTAGAGGGCTATAAATTATTTGTAAGGGAAGGGGCATGATGCATCTTTTAACATGTGCAGTCATTTCAGAGTGCAAAACCTACAAATGTCATGTCCTCTTAAGATCAAAAGTAATTGGTCAGGCTGCACAACAAGGCACAGGGGTAACGAGGCAGTTTGCCACTGTAACAGACTCAAATGACATACTGTGTAGCATGTCGGTGAGCTAATAGACCCCAACGCACAGGGAGAGAGCACAGTTTCACTATGTCTTCTCAAATTACTCTAAGGAGCCGCACTTCTTTTTTCATACAGGAGCTGAATTATTTCCCAGTATACTTTAGGTTTTCAGTGCAGCTTTAGTATATTAAAATTAAATACTTTCTTTATTGCTTGGTGCTAAAAATATGAATAAATACTGAAATATAGAGGCGTTGATCTCATAAAAATGCAGTAAGACTTCTACTACAACAAAACTGCATTATGTTGAAAAAATGAGGATGTATGAACATGGAACGGTATAATTCATTGACCTAAAGAGACATGCTGTTGCGGTGCAGCTTGGTAGGTGAGCAGATGAGTGACTCTGAAGTGTAAAGGCCACTGAGAGGGCAAAGTGGGGGATGGGAAGCCTTCGTGTTTGCTCACAGAGCAGAGCAGTGACCAGGCCCAGTGGAGCCTTACTGCTGCGAGGTGGAGGAGGAGAGTGACGACAAGGAGAGCAGGTGATGTGCTCCAAGTGGCCCTGCGCCACTTTGCAGTCTGTAGTGTGCTCCCCCATACCCAGAAGATATCAGATGTCAAATGTGATGAATATGGCTCGGATAACTCTGCACATGTTAAGAATTAAGTTCATATCAACTAGAGCACAGAAGTTTCAAGCAGAGACGAGAACTCCAAACACAAAAGAGGGTGATCACATCTGATCTAATGCTTTTTAAAACTGTGAAATATTGCTGGTTTAATATTTTAGTTTTTGCTTTTTAAACTGTCACACAAAGACAGTCAATTTCACTTTACATTCAAGATCAACAAACTCGAATACATCCCTGATATTTGCAATTATCTCTTGTATTAAGGAAGGCAGATTGTTGGTACTAAGAGAAAATACTGTATACGTGTTTACACCAAATGTTACTGTGATAATCTGTCAGGAATTTTAAAGTTTCTCTTTTTTTTTTTTTTTTTTTTTGAAATATAATGAAATTGCAATTTAAAAAGAATTAAATAGGTGTGAGAGAAAAAAATCGATACAGCATAGTATCGCGATATTTTGTCTGGTGATATATCGTATCGTCTCATCCAACAAGTATTGACTTTTTCAAATTAATTGCTAATATGAACTCAATTCTATGATAATGGAAAATAAAAATCAATTCTTTGTCCAGTGAGATTTGTAGAGGTGAAAACATAGAGCAGGAGAAACTTAGTACAACAAACAGCACCTGGTGAGGGACATAAGGAATGCAAGCAGCGCACAAATGAGATGGACATGCGGTTTGCAAGAAGTGCTACATGAAAATAAAAATATTGCGTCAGTAAGACAAACATGAGGCCAAGACAAATACTAAATCAGCTAAGCAGTTGAAAATATTGTACAAATCGGGATATATCGTATCGCAATACTCACTGTATCACAATATGTTTAATATCGCAATAATATTAAATGGTGGTCCGAGTATCGTGATAATGTCGTATCGTGGGCCGACTAGTGATTCCCACCCTTATTAGATATGTCATGACACTAATGACAACTTTCAGCTGTGGTGCACCAGGGAGGACCATGTGTGATCTACACATAATAACCATTATAACACGTTGTCAGTAGTTTTGCACTTTATTTCCTTTTAATCAACACAAGCATGAGAAAACAATCTTGTCCATCCTTGTTCACTTTCTGCAGTAAAAGGACTATACTCACTCAAAAACACTGGTGACAGCATAGTGTTAGCCTGACTCAAAAAGCTAGATTAGACAGGAGTGACATAGGGTCAATCCAATGGGCTGATCCTTAGGGCAGATCTATTTAACCCAGTTCTATGCCATTCCATGTTTACAACAAACAACCATGAACATTTTGCTCTTCAGACGGCTTAGCTTGAAAGGAGCTAACTACTGAGGGTCAGAAGTTTAGAGGTAATACCCCCTTGTTTCACCAACAGCTCTGGTGGCAGTTTTCAGTATGCAAAGCTCATCCTTTAAGGAATAGCAAATGCATTAGCAAAATAAAACCAAAGCTGAAACTGACCGGTTTAAATTTGTCAGCTGTTAACTTTCAAGAGATGGTCTTTCACAAGCCCCACAAATACCACTATCACGGATCTGCAGCATGTCTTTTTGTTAAGGAGTAGTTGCAAAGGTAAAACAGTGAACACGGTCAAAAATAGAAAACTGCAGATGCCAGTGTGAAAACACACCCAGACACACTCAATGCTGGTGTGAAATCAAGCTGCTTTTATTTTACATGGTAAGAATATCTCCTCTTTTTATCCCCCTATGACTCAGTTCACTCAACACACTTTTAACTTTCCTTCACAAGAGACAAAAAAAGCACAAAAAAGCCTGAACACTCCAAAGACCACATGTATGTAATTGATACCAAGACCCAGCAGGTATATGAGGGCATTAAATTCAACAGGACACAGCACTACAGGTGCAAATACAGTTCTCCACATAAGCTGTAACTCCTCACAGCTGGAGCGCTCACACACAAGTACACACAAACAATGATTTGAGCCAAATGATTCACAAGTTTCACAATAATTGAATGAAAATATAATTTGATTTTAAAAGGAAATTAAGAGTCCTGATAAAATGGTCTTACCCAAGATCCTAATCTGTGAACCAATGCATGAAATTTGTGATACCCACACCCCACTTTTCCGACCTTCTTCAGTTTCTCTAGCTCAGGCAGACAGCAGTGAAGCATGTTACAGTGTAAAAAGTCACAATTTCTGACAAAACACACAGCTTGTATTTGAAGCAGTCCCACTTTTCATGTTCTATGTTCATCACAGCAAAAATATGTTGGCAACTGAAACAGCACCAAGTCACGTTTTTTAATCTGTTGTGACTTGGCTACTTGGCCACAAGTTCACACTGCAGACATTTGAACCGCTGTTTGAAGGTGAAGTTGCTGCTGCACCATAAGAACATGACTGTCACCCTCCCATCACTTGGTAAGTGGGTCACAGGACTGTACATGACCCAGACATGGGCCTTGCCCCTCAGGGTCATGGGCCAGTCAGG